CATTACTCAAACTTCTAATGGAATTAGCCAAACCTGGTGGCATTACTCAAACTTCTAATGGAATTAGCCAAACCTGGTGGCATTACTCAAACTTCTAATGGAATCAGCCAAACCATATGGCATTACTCAAACTTCTAATGGAATCAGCCAAAACTGATGGCATTACTCAAATTTCTAATGGGATTAGCCACACCTTTTGGCATTACCGAAACTTCTAATGGTATCAGAAAAACCTGGTGGCATTACTCAAACTTCTAATAGAATCAGCCAAACCTGATGGCATTACTCAAATTCTAATGGAATCAGCCAAACTTGATGGCATTACTCAAATTTCTAATGGGCTCAGCCAAACCTGGTGGCATTACTCAAATTTCTAATGGAATTAGCCAAACCTGATGGCATAACCGAAACTTCTAATGGAACCAACTAAACCTGATGGCATTACTCAAACTTCTAATGGAATCAGCCAAACCTGGTGGCATTACTCAAACTTCTAATGGAATCAGCCAAACCTGACTACGCTCTGATTATTCGAGTACGTGGCCTTTGAGCCAATATGGCAGATCATTTATTTGACTCTGTCCTATGGAGGTAATATTGTAAAATTGCATATCAAATTTTAAAACTATTTGCAGAACCATCCACCACATTTGTTACGTAATTTAAGTGATGGTGTAACTCTGTGAAATGGGTTACAATTACGTGTGTAATTCTTACCCGCATGTTTCTACCAGGCAGTTCGTTAACCAATTGCCATGCGATATCTTTACAACCTTTGTCTCTTTCTTCCTTTGGCATGTTATCGTCACCTTCCCAGTACCGACTAGCGGCATGAGCATACGTGCAAGCCGGCGTGGCGTGGGTTATCCTGGTTGTAGTCACAATACCTGTAGCTTTACCTGTAAGCAACGTGGCGTTAAGTGGTTAACTTTGTGCATGGAGCTAGTAGGAACTATTTTACCGTTATTATTGAGTGTTATTGATTCAATTATATCAAAAACATTTCTTGATTCGAAACATCTATGATAATATTTCAATGATTCAGAACTAATCCACGTACTCGTGAATTGCACACTATGTTAATCCAACTCGAGTCGAGTTACCAGTCAAAACAATGAATATGAATAATACATTTTTCAATTACCAGTCAAAACAATAAACAGAAATATTACATTTTTCAATTATTAGTCAAAACAATAAATAGAAATAATACATTTTTTTAGTTACCAGTCAAAATAATGAATAGAAGTAATACATTTTTCAATTACCAGTCAAAACAATGAATAGAAATAATACATTTTTCAATTACCAGTCAAAACAATGAATAGAAATAATACATTTTTCAATTACTAGTCAAAATAATGAATAAAAGTAATACATTTTTCAATTACCAGTCAAAACAATGAATAGAAATAATACATTTTTCAATTACCAATCAAAACAATAAACATGGATTATACATTTTAATATACCAGTCAAAACAATAAATAGGAATAATTTCAACAATTTACAATGTTAAACTATTGTTGGTATTATGTGACGTCGTATGACCTAATTTGTATTCAATATAGGGTTTGGTCTTCCGTAATTTCCCCCAATATAATGATTAACCCTTCAAAACGAGGGAACTGATAAAGAGGAGATTAATCATTACAAATACTGGGAATAGTATATTTAGAGAAAGCATTCTGTACAGAGATAATTGTGACAATTAGTAGAAAAAAGGACATTGCAGTAATTATGATTTTAAAACAAATTAAGCTAAAAACTAAGTGAATAAAAAGTATAGTTTTCCTACCATCTCCCGTCCCAGAAATTCTGTTGGTCAATCCCAAAATATATGTGTTCGAATCAACATTACATTACATTTATTCTAGATATGTTATTACTTTATTGTAAATTCAGAGTGAACATGATACAGATATTATTATTACCTGCATCCTGTGCTATTTTGAGTATGGAATCCACTGCGTATTCGTTTGGATTATCTTGCGTACAGTTACCAAACTCAACTCTATCGTCCATACCTATGGTGTTATAGTTTGTTTTCACCCCGCATAGATATGCGGTGCCAGACGCTGCTGAATCAGGAACTTGACGATCTGCGCAGTATGTCTACAACAACAAAATATATCGTATTTGCGTTTATATCTGTAAGTAGTAATTAACATGTTACAACGCGATGACGGAATAATGTTCAGAAAAAGTCTTCTGAAAATAATAGAAAATATTAATTAATTAATTAATTAATTAATTCATTCATTCATTCATTCATTCAGCAAATCAATCATTTATTCACGTATTATACACACCTTTGCCAATCCTACATTGGGAAACCTCTCATAAAATAGTTCATACTCTTCTCCACTTGCTCCCTGCTGTAGTTGTCCTTTGTAGATTCTAGTGGCTGTAATAGTACTGATACTGTTACCATCTCCCAAAAACAACACAACATTTTTAGCTACTTTATTCTTAATTTTCAGTCGCTGAGCTCTTCGAATGTCACGTGCTGCTTTTTCTTTCCAAAACGCTAAGTCTGCAATTAATAAATATATAAACATACTAACATAATGAATAAATGATTAATGTAAGGGAATATCCATTTATTATTCCTAGAGAGGGGGCGGTGCTTTTTCAAAAATAATGTAATAATGTTGTTAAGGAGGGTGCCCCCTTTAGAAAAAATGAAAAATTTGCAACAGCCCTATATATATGTATATTTTCATGTATTGTTATTGATCTTTTACATGTATATATAAAGAAACAAAAATACTTGTGAAAATTATTTAATGAGAGGAATAAAAAAGAAAACAGACGAAAGGCTAAAAAACGAAGAAAGGACAGATTTTCAAATGGGGTTATGCGTCTCCTACAAATGCTAACGATATAGCACAGAAGTGTTTCCCTACTGATATCAATGAAATGTCAAAACAAAAGATCTATGAGCTTCTTACTGCTGCAATTAACTTTAGAATGACAAAACGAAATTTGCCCTTTTTAGCACACATTTTAGAAAAAGGGGTTTTTCATGGTAGCAAAAACTCAAATGTTAAAGTTATATGAGGAGCACAGTTTCATGTTTCATTCATTTGAAAGTCATTTGTGAGAAGGCAGTACATGTAGTGAAGATAAAATGCTAATCTTGATCCTGATGATTTTGAAGATTTTTTTATTGGAGATAGCAGTATATATGATGACTGTGGAGGTAGTGATGATAATGGTAGGACCACATGTAGTGGCAGCAGGTCTGGTGTAGGTGACAGTGGTGATGTTGGTACTAACGATGGTAGTGGGTCTGGTGCCGCCTTTGTTGGTGGCAATAAAGATTTTGTTACTGGTGATAGCAGTTGGGCTGATGCCTGTGGTGTAGATGGTAGTGATGATGTTGGTAGGAACACATGTAGTGGCAGCAGGTCTGATGTAGGTGACAGTGGTAACGATGGTACTAACGATGGTAGTGGGTCTGGTGCCGCCTTTGTTGGTGGCAATAAAGATTTTGTTACTGGTGATAGCAGTTGGGCTGGTGCCTGTGGTGTAGGTGGTAGTGATGATGTTGGTAGGAACACATGTAGTGGCAGCAGGTCTGGTGTAGGTGACAGTGGTGACGTTGGTACTAACGATGGTAGTGGGTCCAATGCCAGTTTTCTTGGGTGTAATAATGATGTTGTTACTGGGGATAGCAGTGGTGCTGTGGTGTGGATGGTCGTGATGATATTGTCACTAGTGATCGTAGTGGGTCTAATACCACTTGTGTTAGTGGCAATGAGGATGTTGCTCCTTGTGATGTTGAAGTCTGTTGCCAGTGGTTTAGGCGGCAGTGCAGTTGGACTGTCAGCTTTATTAAGACCTGTTTTGCAATAATGTATTGCAATAATGGATACTTCTTTTTATTATATTTACAAATATTTTAAACACAAGAGATTTGCATATACTGACATTTCATGTTTATTTTTATTTTTATTATTTTACATCTGTTAACAAAATACTTTCTATATGTATATTTTTATTATTATATTTAAATATATTCAGTTGTAAAATATGCTGACCCCTCTGTTTTGCCCGACCCC